TAAAATATCATTTCATAAATGCGGTGAAATACACCCAACATAAAGTTCCTTTTGATTAAAAATTATAACGAACGACAAAATGTTATAAAAAATTTTAATCTCTCTTATAATTTTTCTTGTTTACATTTTCTAAAGCCGTACGCAAATCGAAATTTAAAATATTCCATTGTAATTTGTTCATTAACAAGAACGTTTCATTTCCTATCAATATTTACTTACGCATCTCTATCATGTCGCAATTTTCTTCGCAGAAACCATTTGTATATAAACAACAAAATATATTGGTCATTCACATTTTTGAATTTTGATTTGAAAAATTCCAAAATAAAGATTTTCGATCATTCTTCGGTTAAAATTAAACTATTAGAAATCTATGTAACACACGCACACACACACACGCATACACAATTTAACCAATCAATCACAAAATTGAGAATCAATAGATATTTATCCGATTGGAAATTGTTTACGGAAGCGATATCGATATATACAACTTATTTTGTTAAAAATATAAAAAATAGAAAATCTATTTTAAAAAATACGTTTTCTTACATTATCAGAAATTTTAATGGAACAAATTTCAATTTTTAAAAAATTGTATAACTGTATGATGACATATTATTAACACATTAAAGGCGGGAGTCGTAGTACTACGATTTAGCTCGACTGCGGCTTAAAGACGGGAGTCGTAGTAATACAATTTAGCTCGACTGTACCTTAAAGTTTCTATGATCACACAAAATATCGCCCGCCGTTAATGTGTTAATATTAGTAATTGCTTGACAAACAAGATATCTTGTTATAACACAATTTATCACAAATAACACAAATAACACAATTTACACAAATAACAAATAATCACAAATAACACAATTTAGCTCAAATCAACAACCGTCAATTATTTTTATATCACTAGATTGTGACCAAACTTACATCTTATCACGGCTTAGCAAGATAGCTGATTAGAATTTTAAAAAGATGTTAAAAACTTACATCAATTCGATGTTAAGCAATGCGTAAAATGACCATATTATTTTTATGGCGTCTATGCTTAATTTCGAAACAAAAATCGAGTGAATTTCAAACCCAAAATATTTAGAAGAAAAAGCGATTTTTATCAACTACATATGTTTCATTCTGTTCAATGACTTTCTGTCATCTCTTTATGACCTTCATTAACCCCTTTTTATTGAATTTCTGAGATTTTTGGGCAAAGAAATCATCTATGTGGTTTATGAGGACGTCCAGGGAACTGAAGGTTTTTTTATTAAAATTGTTCTGTAGCCTAGAATATAGTTTGAAGTTGCAAGGTCCGAACTATACTATGGGTACACCAAAATATCCCAACCAAGCTGCAATAACGTTTACCGGGTCATCAGGAAAACGTGTGATCTAGCGTTGTTCTGGTAGAACACAATGCCTTTTTTGTTCGCCAATTCGAGCCATTTCTTATAGATTGTTTGCTTTAATTTGGCCAGTTGTAAGCAGTACTTGGTCGAATCAACCGTTTTGTTGGGTGGCAGCAATTCATAATAGACAATTCCTTTCCCGCCAGATACTGAGCATGACCTTCTTCGGGTGTAATCCAGCTTTGGCGATCGTCTGAGCAGCCTCCCCGCGCTTCGACTATGATCTTTTTCGACTAACATTGTTGTAAAAAAATCTATTTTTTGTCGCCAGTTATCATCCGCTTTAAAAAGAGTTTGTTTTGATGGTGTTTGAGCAGCGAATGTCAAGCTGAATTTCCGTCCATTACATTCTTTATGCTCAGTTTGTGCACCCAAACATCAAACTTATTTATCACCCCAAGCTTCGGTAAATGTCTCGAAACAGTCAGTTGATTGGTCAATGTTGAGGTAATGCCCAATCTCTGTAGTCGTCAAATGTCGGTCGAAGTCGATTAAAACATTGATTTGATCGACATCAATAGTGATTGGTCGACCAGAGCTAGGAACATTTTGGAGATCAAAATCTCCGCAACGAAATTTTGCACAACACTTCCTACACACATTTTCGCTCACGGCATTCTCTCCGTACACGGCGCATATCTTTTTGTGAGTTTGTGAGTTTGCGACGCGTTTCTGCCTTTTCGGAAATAAAAGAGCGAGATGCACCAAAAAGACACGTTTTTTCCTTCTTTGTTCAAATAATTAAATATAATTAAATAAATTAATAATAAAATATTATTTAACTTCGTATACGTCACGGATCTTTGTGAATACATTCTTTAAATGTCGACACAAATTTCAGCTTTCACTTAATGTATGACTCTTCATATGTTTTACACATGTGTGAGCGGAAAAACAACTACGAATGACATCTGTCAAAGTTTTGCTACGGAATTATACATAGACCCAATATTTACACAATGAATTGTATCCAGAACCACATAATACTTCGACATACGGAACATTATTTAACGCGAGTCCCACATTCTTCGTATGTAAACAATATAAATGTTAACAGGGTAGAAATAATATGGAACGTTCATTGTAATAGCATATGGAGCAAATGTTGCTCCTTCTTCCTGTCAAGGTAGATCGTCGTAAATTATCTATCGCACTATAGGTACGTATACATTTCGTAGTATATTTTTCGCAGACGGATTTAACATATTTCAGAAAATCAAGTAACATAACGCTCATGTTGCATTTTTTATCATTCTCGACGGAACGTTCAAGCGCATCGAATAGTACATCCATGCAATGTTGCATCGCGCCCAGTTTTAACAGAATTGCATTGTTGCAATAGCTTTCAATGTTAAATTTATTAATCATTTCGCGATAATGATTTTATTTGTGCAAAAGAATCTTTCATGCCTCACACACACGTTTCTTCCATGTAGTCGACACTTGCATTTCGTGACGAGGTATGCAAGCTTGATCCGTATATGGGCAGAAACGTTCGTTTGGAAAAATTTTCGATGCCACATATTGGCAAGTATTATTCCAGTAACAGTGTTTCCATAGAGGTTCCGTATCAACGTTAATTGTATAGATCCATTTGATCAATTCTAGGGCGCAGTAATAACACACGGTCACATTGTTTATGCCGGAATAGGAAAACCAGCAGTCACTAACCGATAAAAACTAATTTCTGATATTTTGGACCACTTGTTCGCAATTAAACTTTTTCCGTGAAATGATTTAATTCGCGTTAAAAAGGACTCATTATATTTGAATAAAGGCGGCGGTGTCATTAGTTCTATAGAAATATATTTGTGAGGATTCTTAAATAAAAAAATAAATAGGTAACAAAATCATATGTCGTGTGCAAATGAACCTTAGATTGAATAGATGAATATCATTGAAGTTGTAAAATACAATACGTTTCTTTCAAATTTCATTTTTATTTGGTTCATTATTATATTTAATAAAGATGTTGTTTTTTGTTGAATTGCTATATAAAGTAAGAAGCAAAATGCTATATACCAGGTATAGAAGTTTGAAACCGGAAATTTTTTGTAAAAATTACACGTCTGTTGTTTGAAAATGATAAAAAATATTTTATTCAAAATAATGTCCATTGCTATTTTTACATTTTTCCCACCTCTCCGGCAGTTTATGAATGCCACGCCAAAAAAACATTTCTTCCTTTGAAGCGAACCAGCTATCGAGCCATTTTCGCACATTTTCATACGAATTGAAGCGTTGTTCAGCGAGAGCGTGTCCCATTGATGCGAATAGATGATAATCGGACGGAGCCAAGTCTGGAGAATAAGCCGCATGCGTTAGTATTTTTCAACTGAACGCCTCGATCGTTTCCCTGACCCGGTTCGCTGTGTGTGATGGGGCATTATCATAGAGCAAAATGACTTTGTGTTGCCTTTTTCCATATTCCGGTCGTTTTTCACGCAATGCTCGATTTAAATCGATCATTTGCTGTTGGTAGCGATCAGTGTTAATGGTTTCACCAGGTTTTAGAAGCTCATAATAGATTACACTCTTCTGATCCCACCAAACACAAAGCATTGTCTTCTTTCTAAAGCGATTGCAGTTGATGTCAATGGTTCGCCTGGATTCACCCATGATTTCTGACGCTTAGGTTTCTCAAAATATATCCATTTTTCATCACCTGTCATGATACGATGAACTTTCTTTAGTATCTGTCGAGCAGCATTTCACAAGTGGTTTTTCGATTTTCTTGCTGTCTTTCATTCAGTTCATGCGGAACCCATTTTCCCACTTTCTGAATCTTTCCCATGGCTTTCAAACGAATTGAGACAGCTTTCTGCGTCACATTCAATTCATCCGCGAGTTCTTGTTGAGTTTGAGTATCATCTTCATCCAATAAGGCTTACAATTCGTTGTCTGCGAACACTTTCGGCGGTTTCCCACGCTCTTCGTTTCTCACGTCAAAATCACCACTTTTGAATTTTTCGAACCACTCGAAACACTGCGTTTTACCAAGAGCACGTTTACCGTAAGCTTCGACAAGCATTCGATGCGATTCTGCAGCAGTTTTCTTCAAATGATAACAAAAAACCAATGCTGTCCGATATTCGTAGTTTGTAGGCACAAAACTCGACATGTTTAAGGTTATAGAAAAATATACCGGTGTATGGAACTTGGGTTGTTGTGTGTTGAAAATCTTCGTCAGCTGTTAGAGGGAGATGATGGCGCTATAGAAACGGTCTTACGGTCTAATTTGATGGCTAACACCATCTATAAGGAAATTCCGCTTTCATACTTCTACACCTGGTAAACTGTTGTTTCGACGATGGGAGCACTGTCGCTCGTAATTTTTGAGACGTTTCCCCAAATTATTTTTATTCTTATTATTAATGTTAATATTATTCTCTCATAATCTTGTTAAAGGGTTAGGCCAGTGTAGAGCCCTCAAAAAAGGCCTAATTTTGACAATTTATTCTGGGAGTAAGGAAAAAAGAATCGAATTTATCTCTTTCAGGCTTTATTAAACATGTATTTGAGTATATAAAAAAATTTTTATATAGACATTTTGGTACAAAATGGCGGCTACTGGGCCAATCTTCGGAATCACTTTTTTCAAGAGGGCCCCTACGGGCGACGCTGATTATAGGAATTCGTGCTATCTAAAACAAAATAAAGAACAGGATTTAATCTATATAAGACTTGCTAGTAAAATACGTATGTTTTTAGCTTTACATCAATTTTTCGCAAAATGGCGGACTTGTAATTAAAAGGTTCAATTTTTGACCGAAAAATGAGCAGTAAATTGTTTATAAAAAAAAAGTTGCAATGATAACACAAAAATCGTACGTAGTTTACTAGGTAATGTTACTGTGAAGCTACAGTTAAAATTTTAAGTGGATACGTGCGATAGTCTCCGAGTACCATCGTCGCCCGATTTGAAAAATGCAGTTTCGAGAAAAACGCGTTTAAAATTTTACGTGCTGAAAATTTTGTTATATCTTCAGTATGCGATGCCTGCGCCGTACATTTCACCTTCCATGGACACGTGGAACTCATCTTCTTCCTTTCTGGATGCCTCCTCTTCGATTCGAGATCTTCTTGCAGCATCTGAGAGCGAACGATCGGATAATTTGATGCGGTTTTGATCAGTCTCTTGACAGTAATTGTAGCAGTTTGGCCCAATTTTGATGCCTATGTTCTGCATGACTCTCATGGCACTTTTGAGGCCATCATTATAAGTACCTACAGCAATATATACAGCTGTGTCAAGTACATTTTTGCCACTGGATGTCACTTTCGGGGCCATCGACTTATACTATAGCGTTGAAACTCTCATTACTGTTTTGAGTGAAGCCGCCTATGCAACGAGTGAGTAGGTCATTACTGGTTATTTTTTCATAAGTGGGAGTTATAGCCTTGTATACTTCTTCATGTAAAGGTGTTTTATGTGTATATTCGTCCAAAGTTCCAGTGGCCTCGGCCCTTTGCTACGAGCACCACGAATTTTCTCCGCTCGGGCAGTGATCGTGCTTGGGCTTGGCATCTGTTGATAATTCACTCATATTGTTAACAATGATAGTTTATCAGTAAAAACTACTGTAGTCATTAAAGTAATTCGTTGAAACAGAAAAACTAACGAAAACAGAAAGAAGCGTCCAGAAGCGTGGCGTCGTTTTTCAGCTGACTGACCCACACACAAGCCCACACATACAGCTGTATTGATGAACTAGCACTTCCTAACGGCCTTTTGGGGAACCATTAAAGCCCTCAGGCCCCGTTGGTACATTAGTGCAGAGGGTAAGAGTCGTAAAAAGGGGACAAAAGGAAGCCCGCCGCGGCAGGTAGAAAATGCGCTCATCGCCCACTCCGAACGCTTTGACTACAGCGGATTGAACAGGGAAAAAATTTTTTTTTCACTACTCTACCAATTGAATAATGTTCTTAGGACCCTAAAATTTAAGCAAAAAGAAAATTTCGATTTTTTGAAAATCCTAGACTGCCCTAATCCCTTAATCCTTGATATCTCGAGAACTACGAATTCCTTTTTTTTTTTATATAAATGGGAAGCAGACGGACTTCGGGCAAGCGTTATTGTAAAAAGAATAAGCTTATGATGGCTCACCGTTAAACGCACTATATGTTTCCCCACGCGTCTTCATTTTTTCCGCCTTCACGTAAGACACGTAGTTTGTTACATCCGGGGTAACCCGGCAATAACGAATCCTAATTTTTATATTATCTGGAAACAGACGGATTTGGGCATGCGCTATTGTAAAAAGACGATTACACACCGCCAAATGCGTTATGAGTTTCCCAACGCGTCTGCGATCTTATCCGCCTTCATACATAGTCGGTCGGAGTTAAGCCCTTTGATGGGATTATGTTCTTAGGATCGTTTGTGACAGCCAAATGATATTAGGAATTTTCCAGAGTATCCATTTTCTCATCCTTTATATCTGTTTTCCACGCAAACTCTTCTCATTGGCGATCGTCATCTGCCACCTCCAAAAATCTTCCCTATATAAGCTTCACTCTCTTGCCGCGAGCACTTCTTGCTCGTTTGACTACTGTTGCGTATTATCGTTTTCAATATTTTTTGCGTTCGAACCATTATGTCTTCCGCCACAACTTCGTCTTTGTTGATCAGATCGGGATCTCTCCAGTGCCACCCGTTTTATGAAACTTGCTGTGCGTAACTAGGGATTTCTTATAGATATTCGTTTCGATATTCCGATAATTAGTCCGAGTATCAGATTCGCTCGATTTAACCGTAGTCAGTCTGTATCAGTCACTCAGTGTCAGTCAGTGAGTGAGTCTTTTTCACTTCGCCTTCTGCTGTCAAACAACTCGTTGTGCAAGTCGGGATCTCTTAAGTGAACTATTTCTCTCGATATTCCGAGATCCCATAAATCCGGCACACCACGATCAACGAATCCATGTTTTACGTACTATTTACCATAGTCGATTCACATAAATCGTAAGTCTCTATTTCATATTTAAACATGACTTTTAATCATTTCAATTCAATCTCCAATCCCACTTTACTCCTCAAAACACACATACTGAGTAATTATTATCTTCCTTGTATTATATAATGATGTTTTTCTCGCCATACCGATACATAAAATATTTTTGTTACTTTAAATCCTATTGTATTAAATTAAGTTACGCCGATTACTTTTTTACTTAACCTTACTTTAATCTTCATCTTGTATTTGCATTATTCCAATAATGCTGATTTATAAAAGTTCCTATAATGTTAACCCATATATCTCAATTTTTAACTTTAACAAACCCTTTGATCTTTTAAATATTGCATCTTTACAATGACTTTACTCATCAATTTATCACTATTATTAATGCATGTGAGAACCAAATTATGTTTTTAGTATAATTAATAAACTGTTTTATTCAAAATGCCCTAAATTTAACCAAGTTCTTAAATTTATTCATTCATTTCCTTTCAATTACTTAAATCTAAATTCCCCTTTCAACACTCTCATATGGTCCTATCCCAGGTAAACAGATTAACTTCTTTGACCTAAATAAAGGACCACCTAACGTATGTTATGTGATCGGAGTAAATGGGCTTCTCCGGACTTTGACCTGATCTGCAGACCTACCAGTACGTTTAAGCCTCGCGAGTGAGCGAGTAAACGATGTTTGTTGAGTACATCCTCTTCCAGGACGTTTTGTTTTGTTTTAAATTGTTTATTTTATTCGACTATGATAATTTGTACATTTTGTATTATACTTAAGTAAACAAAAGTATGTGTGTGACGGTGTTACCAGTATCCAGTTTGTCCACTCTTGCGAGTGTTTCGCAAACTAAAAAAAAAATTATTGTACGATCTTAAGTTTCTATTATTGATACATTTCTTTCTATATCTATGTTTGTCCGTTTCTGGACTTTGCGCTTTATGTACGAGGTCTGTTCAAAAAGTATCGCAAATTTTGTGTTTTTACAAAAATTATTTATTTATTCATGAATATCTATTTTGTCTCCTTCAAAGTAATCCCCATCAGATATTACACACTTGTGCCAACGTTTTTTCCAATCTTCGAAGCACTTTAAAAAATCATTTTTTGTGATCTTGTTCAGCTCCTCCTTCGATGCCGTCTTTATCTCCTCAATCGTAGCGTAGCATCGTCTTTTCATGTGCCTCTTCAGTTTCGGGAACAAGAAAAGTCACAGGGGGCCAGGTCTGGGGAATACGGTGGCTGCACCATCATTAGTGTGTTGCTTTTGGCCAAAAATTCGATGCTGTTTTTGGTCAAAATTGAGCAATTTTGGTACGAATTTCGCGGCGACCCGTCTCATACCCAAATCATTAGTAAAAATCGAATGGCACGAGCCAATCGATATGTTTAGGTCCTCAGCAACTTCTCTAACGGTGATTTGACGATTGGCCAATACTATTTTCTTCACTTCATCAATGTTTTCGTCTGTTGTTGACGTGCTCGGGCGTCCGAGAACATTTTGTACCACCGATAAACGTTGCTTCGGTTCAAAGTAGCTTCACCATATGCCACAGTCAACATTTGGAATGTGTCCGCGCACTTAATTTTGTTTTTCACACAAAATTTGATACAGATTCTTTGATCCATTTTTTGGAATATGCAAAAATCGAATACGAGCCAAAACACGTCCAAGCAAAACAGCTGTCAAAGATAAACTGAATATTCAAAATGGCCGAACTTGTCGGCATAAGTGAGGGACATGAGTACCAANTAAAATCAAATACACGTAACCCGCGGAAATTCAAAATTCACGATATTTATTGAACAGACCTCGTATGTTGCAAGTATAAATATTGAATAAAATCGGGGAGATTATTGTGCCTTGTTGTAGTCCGTTTGTGATTGAAATTTTTCGATGTGCTATTACCTTGGTAGGTTTTGAATTTTCTGTTGAAAATCATATTCCATATTATTTTGATAAGGTGTTCGGGGAATTTCTTTTTAATTAGTTTGAAAATTAATCTTTCAAGCCAGACTGTGTCGAAGGCTTTTTCCAAGTCTATTAGGCATGCGCCTGTGTATTTTTTACTATTTAGAGCCCAGACTGCGTCCGAAGTTAGTTTATTTATTGCGTGTATCGTTGAGTGTTGTCGGCGAAATCCGAATTGATTTTCTGGGATTATGTGGTTTTTGTCGCAGTATTCTGTGATTATGTTGTTAATTATTTTTTCATATATTTTACTTATATTTGGTAAGAGGCTAATGGGTTTGTAGCTATTCGGTTGTGTCTTGTTTTTGTTTTTCTTTGGTATGGATATTGTTCTAGCAGTTTTCCATCTGTCTGGGAAATGGTTGGAGTTTGTCAGGTTGTTGAATCAGATTGTGTGGTTTAGGGCTATTTCTCTCGTTATATTTTTCAATGCTATGTTAGGGATGTTATCGTGTACTGATGAGGTTTTATTGCTTCGGTTTTTGAAGAGGGATTCTACTCTGGAGGAATTTGTAAAGTATTTTGTTTTTGACTTGTTTATCTCAGGGTTCTGTGGTGTGTTTGCGTTTGAGAATTGACATAGTGTGTTGTTTTTCTCCGTATTTTCTTTGATTTTTTGTGCAGATTTTGTCGAATTCTCTTTTGAATATGTTACTTAAGGGCGCGTTGCCTAGTTTTACTGTTTTGTTGCACATTTCTGAGTAGTGCGCTGCCATTACGTTTAATTTCTGTGTGAGGTCTTTGATGTTGAAGTTTTTATCAGTGTCTATTGGGATTTCTGTGTGGTTAATTCCAGCTATTGTTAATAGATTTATGTTTCCTTGTTTTATTTTTAGGTTGGGAAGTTCTATATTTTCTTTTTTTCTAAACAACTTATTGATTTCTGGTCACATTTTTTTTGTGTCGTTGTATTTGATGTTTTTAATTCTGTTGAGTCAATATTCACTCACTGCTTCGTTTATGAGGTTTCGTTGACTTTCTCTTGTTACTTTCATTTGTGTTTTGAGTTGTGCTATGGTTTGTAACGTTTGTTTGTCCGTGTTGAATGTTCTTTTAATTTTATGACTCTCTGATAAAGTTTTTCTTTTTTTCTTTTTGTAGTTTTTTATTTTGTTATTCATGTATTTGTCAGTTTTGCTTTTTGCTTTTTGTTTTTGGTGTTGCTTTTCTTAGTGCTTCTAGTATAATGTTTTCTAGTTTTCCTAAATTATTTTCGGTTTCTTCTATTGTCAGGTTTCTGTCTGAGGGAATTGTTATATTAGTTTTATTGAATATTTTTTTTTATCTTATCCCAGTTAGTTCTGTTATAGTTTATTTTATCGTCATTTGTGTTATCGCAATCTATTTGTATTTTCGCTTCTATTTCTACGTCAAAAGTAAGAGCCTTATGGTCGCTATCTGCTCGGATTGTTTTTACCATATTGTCGCACGTGTTTGAGAATTCTATTATCATCGCATCGGCGAGGACTAAGTCTAAGTACGAGCTGTTTTTCGGGTATGATAGTTTCTCCGAATGTAGGATGGTAATTATTTTGTCGATCTCGTTGTCCGTTAACCACGCTTTTAGGTTGTTTCCTCTATCATTGTTTCTGCTTTTGGCCCAGCTTATGTGTTTAGGTCTCCTGCTAGGATGTAGTAATTTTTATTGTCCTTTAGGTTCAGTTCGTCAAAAATGTTCTGGACTTCTTTTATAAAGTTTTTGTTACCTTTACTGTTCGCGTAATCCGCGATTATATATAACTTCTGTGAGTTATCCATGTCAATTCGAATTATCGTCGATTCTAGGACTTGGGGTGCGTTCTTGAGTTCTATCCTCTTGTGCGTTAGGCCTTTTTCACAGATTATGGCAGTACCTCCGCCCATCTTTGCGTTTATCCTGTTGTTTCTGATTATGTCGTAATCTTTGAAGTAGACTGTGTGTTTCTCGTTGAGTTTCGTTTCGCCTAGAAGCATTAAATCTGGTTTGTGTTTCTTCATTAAGTTCAAAAGACTAATTCTTTTATGGTTACTGATGATCGAGTTTACGTTGAGTGCAATGAGTCTAAGCGCCGTTTTTTCTTTTGTACTCTGATATGTTTTTTTATTCATTTTCGTTTGGGAATGGCCATATTTTCAGTATTGCATTAATCCTGTTGATGTTTTGGGTTAGTATCATGACTGTCTTGTCTAGATTATCTATTTTTTGAAGTATTTGATGTGTTATGTCGGAATGTATTTCTTTTTTTTGTGCGTCTCTAGTGACAGGCGTTTGTGTCCATGGTATTTGTGTATTATATTGTTGTCGTGTGTAGTCTTGTTTTTGTTCTGAGTGTGGTGTTCTTGCAATTTGTGCGTATGTATGTTGTTTTGTATTCTTGGGTCTGTGTTTATTCCGTTTCTTTGTTTATTTATTTTTTTATTTTCGATAAATTGTTTTAATTCTTTTATTCTGGGCCAACCTTTATATGATGCTGGGTGTCGAAAACCTTTACAATTTACGCAGTATAAATCCGCTGTGCTATTAATATTATTGCTGCATTCGCCTGGGTTGTATTTGATGTTCCATTTTACACATTGGTACTCCATGTTACAATTTGCCAGTGTGCCCTATTTTTTGACATTTTTTGCATTGTGTGTTTTCTTTTTTTTTCAATCTTTCCCAGTGGATGATGTTGTAATCGATAATTTTAATGTTTTTGAGTAGTTTTAGGTTGCTGTTGGTTTCAATTGTAACTAAGAATATGGGTAGACTGATTTTATTTTGAATTGATCTTTTTGTGGCGAATTTGCATGTTTTAAGAAATTGGATGTTTTCATTGTTGTGTTTGGTTAGCTCTTTATAAACTTCATCCTCTGATTAAGATTGGTTCAGGCCTTTGAAAAGAAACATATGGTTTTTTTCTGATTTTACCGTGTATGTGTAGAAATGTGTGTTTGTTAATGTTAATAGTTCTTTAACTCTTTTAAAATCGCTTAGGTTTTCTAGTATGATTGTATGTTTGTTGCTATTTATCCTTTTGACATGAAAGTTGCTTATATTTAACTTACTTTTAATTGCGTTAACAGTGTCTTTCGGGTCTTGAGATAGAACATTGATTGGCGGTGGTTTTGTCTTGCTGCTACCTTCGTTGGCGCTTCTTACTGTCGTGTTGCTGCTCTCTTTTATTCCAAGTGTCTTCGTTACTTGGGCTGGGCTCTTGCTCTGCTTTGTTTGTGCTGTCCTTTTCTTGTAGTCTATGCTTTCTTCCTTTTGTGTTAATATTGCGTTGCTCAACTCTCTTTTTCTTTTGTTTTCTCTGCTTAATATTTGTATGAATGGTTCTTCTTTGTCTGTTTGCATATTTTTTTCTTGTGCGAGTTGGCTGTGCTTCGCCTTTTCCGGTTGCCTCTCGGTTGTAGCGGTTGCGAGGTGCTTGCTTTGTGTTTGATTTTGAAAATTGTCCATGATATTTCCTAATTTTTTTATTTCTGCTTTTAGGTTGTTGATTTCTTCTTTGTGTGCTTCTTCTGGGATCATTGTTGCTATGCCCCACCCTGTGTTTGTCTTACCTATTTCTGTCGTGTTCTTTTTCTTCATGTGGAGGGTCTTTATGTTGGGTTGTTCTAGGGCTCTTCTATGCTTCGTCATTGTTTGCGTTTTGCTTAAAAAGGCCGTTATTTTCTCCTGTGAGTGTGGATTCTTCAACAGCTTTTCAAGCTTTTTTCCTTTCGATTCTTTATATGTGTGAAGGTTTGAGGTTAATTCCCATTTATGTGCAATTTTCTCTGAAGCTGGGCTTTCGCCTGTCTCATTATTTATCTTGGATATCTGTGTATTGTCTGTATATTGTCTGTGTTATTCACCTTGCTTGGTAGATTTTCAGCTTGGCTTCTAATTTCTGTACGCTGCACTTTTTTAGTTTCTCAGCTTTTCCGACTTGTACGGCTTTTATGGCTGCTCGGTCGATAATCCTCTTCCAGGACGTAACAATCTGTAAGTTGAACTACATTTGAAACGGGTCAAATGGAAACGCATTTGTAGAAAAGAAGACTTACATTTTGCTCCACAAAGAACTATCGCTTGTCTATGCGAATTAGAGCGTATTCATGATTAATTTACGAGCCGGAATAATCATGAATCTTTCAACAATTTTTATCGGTGTCAGAAAACTTCAGTTTACTTTTTCAAGACGACAATTGACTTGTAATTGTGTCATTTACTGTTGTCCGAATTAAAAAAGCGATTTATAATTTCGTTCTTCTTCTTCTTCTTCTTATTTTTCTTACGTTAGGCCATAGGCCGGTGTTTCCTCTCACTCATAAGCTTGTAGTGCGCATGTTGATTATATACAGGCATTTGGAACATACAGTTTAACGCCGACTTCGAATGGCATTTATTTTACAAGAGGTTCTTTCGGCAGATATACTCTGGTAGCTTCTTAGACAGTGCAGAGAAGACACGAGCGTATAAATTTTTCCAGTTCTGCCCGAATCGACTCCTGGACCTCTGTGACGCAAACCAATGCGCTGTCTGCTACAGCACATTTGTGCTTGCACAATTTTGTTCTTAACATATTAAATATTACAAACATGAAAATAGGATTTTTCTACCCGAAAAATATATACGAGGTGTGTTCAAAAAGTATCGCGAATTTTGAATTTCCGCGTGTTACGTATATTCAATTTTCGATTTTTTTGTAGCGTTATGTTAGTACTCATGTCCCTCACTTATGCCGACAAGTTCGGCCATATTGAATATTCAGTTTATCTTTGACAGCTGTTTTGCTTGGACGTGTTTTGGCTCGTCTTCGATTTTTGTCTATTCCAAAAAATGAATCAAAGAATCTAACAAAATTAAGTGCGCGGACGCATTCCGAATGTTCACTGTGGCATATCGTGAAGCTACCTTGGACCGAAGCAACGTTTATCGGTGGTACAAAATGTTCTCAGAGGGCCGAGAAGATGTGAACGACAAAGAGCGTGCCGGACGCCCGAGCACGTTAACAACAGACGAAAACATTAATGAAGTGAAGAAAATAGTATTAGCCAATCGTCGAATCACCGTTAGAGAAGTTGCTGAGGACCAAAACATATCGATTGGCTCGTGCCATTCGATTTTTACTAATGATTTGGGCATGAAACGGGTCGCCGCGAAATTCGTACCAGCGTCCCTACTCACACATCGTTGCTTGTGCGCGAATTTTTGGCCAAAAGCAACACACTAATGATGCCGCAGCCACCGTATTCCCCAGACCTGGCCCCCTGTGATTTTTTGTTGTTTCCGAAACTGAAGAGGCACATGAGAGGACGACGCTACGCTACGATTGAGGAGATAAAGACGGCATCGAAGGAGGAGCTGAACAAGATCACAAAAAATGGTTTTTTGAAGTGCTTCGAGGATTGGAAAAAACGTTGGCACAAGTGTATAATATCTGATGGGGATTATTTTGAAGGAGACAAAATAGATATTCATGAATAAATAAATAATTTTTGAAAAAACACAAAATTCGCGATATTTTTGAACAGACCTCGTATATATATATATATATTTATACGGTATATATTACCATTTATATATATTGTTATATCCTAAGGTATCTCGGAACTCCCTCCTCTCCCTGTTTTTTAATGCTATTCTTTTTCGTTCTTCCTTCCCTACACTTTTCTTTGATCCCGGTAGTTGCCTGTGGACATGGTACTGTTTCCAAACCTTGTTCCCAAAACCAGTTATAATGTTAGTTTGTAGTCCCAACCGTATCGTTATTATATTTTGTTTTATTAAAATAATTCACACTTTTTACTTACCGCTTTTCGAGCTTATTTAATTCAATTAAATTAGATGCGGCAGTCACTGCCGCCGAATGGCAGAAGTATCGTTACTCTCACCGACCATCAAATTTCAAGAAAAATAAGAATCATTTCAATGATCAGCAATGAAGGCTCCGTGAGCGTGACTTATCAGCGCGCGAAAGTCCAGTCCCCGCGTCACTTATCATTTTTAGAAAATCTCATAATTCCCCTCATTTCTATCATTGTATTAAAATTCAAAATTGATCCGATAATTCCGCGCCTTCTGACTTTATTGTCCCACCGATCGTGCTCGGTGTATGAAATAGGTTATGTTATGCAATTTTTATGTGTATTTTAGATAAACTAAATTTTCCGCTCCGTGAGAACGGATGTGCATGATCTATCTTTTTTCTAATCTCTGTAAACCTAAGACCACCGTGGAAAACTAAGTCCGTTGGTGTTCCTACCGAAAAGGCTGACCATTGCAGTTGCAGAAAGAAGAGGAAGAGTAGGACTAGCTTATAAATAAAAGCCTCGTCTTTAAGCAGTTCAGTAGTAGTTCTTCCTGTCAGCTAGCTTCAGTTCGGTCAGTCAGTTCTTGATTCTTTGTTTCTCGAGTTTTTCTTGCGAGTCTGAACCGCGCATATCTCGTGCTTCATAGTTAGTCATTTTAAATGAACTCAAGCCGGTCCCCGCTTTTTACTCTTCCCAAGGCGACGTAACACACTCGACCTATTAGTATTTTGGATTAGCCGACATCGAATGTAAGTTACTATTATATTATTATTATTTCAAAGACCATTATCGCTGAAAATATACTATACCGTTGTAAACCTTCTCGTCGTGATATAGCGAAAAAGAAACCCTGTTGCCGTCTTGACGTGGAAATTACCGAAATTCGCCAAAACAATAATGAAGTGTATATCTATTTAGTTTTATTTGGCTGTTGTTGTTTTCTTTAATAACACTACTTATTCTGCGATTTCACTTCAAAATCACGCGTAAAACTTTCCCACCATCCTTCTCGGCTTAATTAGCTGCTAAACATGGCGGAGCCGCTCCCGCTACGCATTTCGCGGACCGTCCAGGACGTGACAATATATATACTACATGGGCTGAAAAGTTCCGGGATTTTTAATGAAAACAAGCGTTTTTTGGCAAAGTTATATTTATTCCTCAACAGAGTTGCCTTCGAGTGCGATACACTTGGTATAGCGATTTTCTAACATTTCGATGCCCTTTCTGTAGTACGAAATGTCCAAGCCTTCGAAATACGCTTCGATTTCCGCGATGACTTCCTCATTCAATGTGAATCTCTTTCCCTGGAGCAACCACTAGAAGTTTGGGAACAAATGATAGTCGCTGGGTGCCAAATCTGGAGAATACGGCGGATGAGCAACCAATTCGAATCGTAATTGGTCCAATTTGGCCATCGCTTTCAAGGACGTGAGTGATGGTGCGTTATCGCCTTGGTACAGAACTGTTTCTTCGCCATATGGGGCCGTTCTTTCTTTATTCCGTCGTTCAGTTTGTCCAATAACGCTGCATAATACTCTCCCGTAACTGTTCTTCCCTTCTGCAGGTAATCGATGAAGATTATTCCATGCGCATCCCAAAAAACGGAGGCTAAAACCTTCGTTGGTCGGCCGAACGTTGGTCTTTTGGCCGCTTTGGTCGGCTTTCGTGGCTTTTCAGCCACTTTGCAGACTGCCTATTGGACTCAGGCGTATGGTAATGGATCCACGTTTTATCCATCGTCACAAAATATCAAAAAAGTCCGCTCGATTACGCTGCAACAACGCCAAACCGGCCGTTGAATCATCAACGCGCTGCTGTTTTTGGTCGACGGTCAGCAAACGCGGCACCCATCGCGCAGATAGCTTTTTCATATACAAAACATTGTGCAAAATGTATCCCACCCGTTTTTTGAGATACCAACAGTTTCAGCTAACTCGCGAAACTTTATTTTACGATCACTCAAAACGATTCGATTCACTTGCTTTACGATTTCCGCATTCGTAGCATCCTTTGGTCTTCCAGAGCGAGGTGCGTCTTTGGTGCTTGTACGACCCATTTTAAATTCACTAAACCATCGATAAACTGTTGTTCTCGAAAGAGCAGATGTGGGATAACATTTCTTCAACAATTTCATTGAATGTTTAGGAGTTTTTCCCATCAAAAATCAATATTTGATCAATATGCGATATTCCTGTTTTTCATTTTTTTTAAGAAGACAAAGGTAGCGACACTTAAACGACTATAGCTTGTAAACGAATAAACGAAATGTCATGAAACTTCACACATAAAATAGTGACAGATAAACCTCTCGAAATAAATCATGCTTATTTTCTAATGGCGCCACTTATTAAAAAATCCCGGAACTTTTCAACCAATGTAATATATAAGGTAATTATGTAAAATAAGGTCTTTTCCGAATATCGATACATATGTACAGATATATATATACCAGGTGTATGCGTAAGTTTTTTCCGGTTTTTTGGTGAAAAAACACGTAATTTTCAAGGGAAATTAATTTTTTTTTAATTCAAAATATTGGCCATCGGCTTATACACATTTTGCCCATCTTTCAGGTAATTTATAAATACCTTGCCAGAAAAACTGCTTGTCTTTTGCGGTAAAACATTTGTCGAGCCATTTTCCAACTTCCTCGAAATTGCTGAAGTGCTGCTCTGCGAGCGCGTGCTCCATTGATGCGAAGAGGTGATAGTCAGATGGCGCCAGGTCTGGAGAGTACGGCGGGTGCGGAAGGATGTCCCATCCAACCGATTTCAAGGTGTCTTTCACTGGTTTTGCTGTGTGAGACGGCGCATTGTCGTGTAACAAAATCACTTTGCCATG